TTTTTGCCCTTGGCCTTGCCTTTGGACTTGTCCTTGGTCTTGCCCTTGGACTTGCCCTTGTCGGCGTCCTTGCCTTTTCCCTTGGAGGACTTGCCTCCTTTGCCGCCTTCCTTGCCACCAGGAGGTTGTGCGGGTTCTTGAGGACGTTGAGAACCAGAAGCCTTAGCACCAGAAGCTGCCTCTTCCTGAGAAGAGCTTGCTCCCTGTGGCGCGGCTGCAGGACCAGTAGAACCAGAACCACGCGCCTTGTTCAGCTTCTGTCTCTCTTTTCTTCTGTCCGCGGCTTCCTTCATGGTGTCGGGATTGCGGTTGAGCGCTCTCATCCTGCCTCCAGAGTACTGGTTCGCGTGAACCTCGATGAGGAGCGGAGTGTGGGCGTCATAGTCCCGATCGTTGAGAAGGTACGCGGCGCTGGTGGAATTTAACAGCCACTCAGAGACATGGATGTCGAACTCGGTCTTTGAAGACGGAAACTCCGCCCATTGATCGTCCGACATGCTGTGTCCCCATTCCATGACTGTAGCCATAACAGGATCCAAACCAGGAAAAGTATTCCAGTCTGGTTGCTTAGCTTCCTTGTGTGGCATTCCCAGCGTGTCCTCATACTGTTTCAGAAGCCACATGGCGTTTGCTGACACATGTCTCGCACGAGGCGAACAGAAGTGTGGGCACTTTGGGCTTTCTGACCATGCCTCCAATAAGTAGTCGAGAAGGCTTTGGTACATCCCGCCACGAATATCCATCGACTCCTGCTTTCTGCCGGTGGCCCGGTAGAGGGCCATGTTGGCGTCGCCACCGATGAGGTCGACTTGGTAGTGCAAGCAGTCTATGAACATGTTGCCCAACACTTCATGAGCCAACGCCACCTTGTCTGCCGCCGCGTCGTTGTGGAGGTGGAAGACACAAACTCTGATCCGGTCGGATCCAGCCCGCTCCAAGACCTTGGTCAGTGACTCATCTGGAACATCACCACGACTGTCATGCCATACACGATTTCCGCGACCATATAGGTTATTGGAAGGGACTCGTGGGCATATCCACTGAGAGTGGAGCCGGCAAGACGGGTGATCGAAGATCCGACACCATTAGTACGACTTCCCACCATCAGGTCCTTGGACTCGTTACGCAGGAATTGCCACCCGCGTGACTTGAGGAAGGCCTCCTCGGAGTCATCGATTGTAGCCGCTTCGCAGAGCATAAACAAATGCGTCTTCGACTGTGCAATCGATTTTATCAAGGCTCCTTTAGATGGTGTAGCATCGTCCCAGTCAATGTGATTAGCAACGGAGCTAGGAGCGGAACGCTTCCTTCCCCTGCTCATGTTGCCGAGATTGAGGATGAGCGCGGCGTATTTGGTCTTGCTGGTGAAGATAGGGACATTGGAGTCCTCTGCCAGACCAAAACGATGAATATAAGGATTCGGCATCTTCTCAAGAGAGAGGTCCCCGATCTCCTCTTCATCGACTCCGGTGCTCAAGAAGTAGTGAAGCATAGCATTCAAAAGTTCTTCTCGAGTTGCCGGATTGCCGCTTGCATCCAAGGACTTCAGCTTATCAAGAAGTGCTTCCATAACCTCCAATGCTGATTCTCGGATGTCAGAGGCCTTGCCCATGAGCTTGTCGTCCAAGGTGCTGCGAACGTCCCCAGAACGAAAGACAACGTCCTTCTTGTCGGGACGGCGCTCATAGATGGGAGCCATCTTGTTGAGTTGGTCGAATAGGTCCCCCATAGAGAGAGAGTATTTCTGTCCCTTGTGATTCGGAACATTTACCCTCCAACTCATATGCTGCACCTTGTAGGCGAGAACGGGCTCGTAGTCAGGATCACGAAGTCCTGTATGATACAAGCCTGAATAGCCATATCCATGCAACTGCTTGCAGAGCAGCCGCATAGGGCTTTGTCGTTCGATTTCGGTGAGCTGCGTAAGGAAATGTTTGAACTCTTCGAGATCAACGAGTTCGATCTTTTCCCTTGCCTTGCCCATCTTGTCGAACGCGTTCTCATTCTGGTCCTCTGCATCCTTCGCGGCCTGGTCCTCTGCATCCTTCGCGGCCTGGTAGTACTCAGGATCCGGAACAGTCTTGCATTTCCCCCAGATGCCTTGATCGTGAAGTTCACTTTCATCATCCTTCTCGGGAGAAATGTCTGGCATGGATTCCTCACCCTGTGGTGAGCCTTCCTCAGCCATCTCGATGTTCTCGCACTTACCTCCTTCCTGACCCATGTGCACATCAGATTCGACCTTCACCTCGGATGCCTCTCCCTGTGGAGAGCTTTCCGTGGCTTCGGTCTTCTGTTGTGAGACATCCACCCCAGATGCCTCTCCCTGTGGAGAGCTTTCCGGAGCGTCCGTCTCCATTGGCTCGACAGTAGCCCCAGATACCTCTTCCTGTGGAGAGCTTTCTGGAGCTTCAGCCTCCATTGGCACATCGGTCGGCTCGGTCTTAACCGGATCAACCTTCTTGCCCTGTGGCAAGTCCGTGGATCCAGTTGACGGTTCGGAGGTATCCATCTGAGTAGCCGCGGGAGGCTCCTCGATCTCCTCGATCTGTGGACATGGGAGTCGCTCGATGAACTCCTCGATCAAAATGTCTTCATATGGTCGAGTGAGGAGCTCATTCAGCTCGGACTCCTTCTTCGCCTTCAAGTCCTCGTAAGCCACCAAGTCCGCTTTGGCCTTACGTGCGAAAGCCGATTTGAAATCTCGGTGCTCAGATTCTGCAAAGACTTTCTCCAGAACGGCCAGAAGGTAGCTGCCGCTGAACGGCTGCTTGAGGGTACTGTCATAGAGACAATAACCCTCCGGGGTTCGCACCGTGTATTTACGGCGAACCTCCAGATCACTGGCGTGGCGCTGGATGTAGGAGAAGAAGTCCACTCCGTATGCCTCATTGATGACGCGAACGAGCATCTGAAAATCATCTCGCACATTGAAGACCTCTTCGTACACATACCTTTCCCTGAGGAAAGCATTGTGTCCGGCGAGCTTGCGAGAGTAATCAGGATCCTCCGTCTTTGGCATCTTTGCACGAGGATCAGAGTCTCGAGGGCGATCGAATCCGATGTTACCCACGGTGGGCCTGAATTCGTTCTGTGAGGCGAGGGTGACGTCCTCCAGCATCTTGGCAGGACCTCCCGGATGACGCTTCATGTTCATCCATGGTGACGAGTAACCGTTGGAGTAAACCTTCGGTTTCTTGTCCAGCTCCACGAGGTAGTTCCCCTGCAACTTCCCCATCTCGAAAGCCTTGAGGAAGAAGTGCAGGGAGTACCCCGAAAGAGGGTGCTGCAACCAGGATGCCCAGTCGTATTCACCACCCAAAGACTCCCTCATCGAAGTAGTCGAGGTGTGCCAGGGGGTGACCTGAACGAGGGCATCGCCGTAGGTGCTGCTAAGCATCGGCTGGCCAGAAGAGTCCACCATGTGCAACTTGCCATGGGCAAAGAGATGCCACGGATTGGTCCTTGCCTTGCGGAGAACCTCGTTGAGCTCCTCCTGCTGCTGGGACTTGTGCACATCAACCTTGCCGTGGACGGTGTCCCCAGACTGGTATGCATACTTGGTGTCCCCTTCGGAGGATGTGGCTTGCCGCTCCCGCTCTGCCTTAAGCTCATTTTCGCGAATAAGCTTCTGGAGAGCCGCCGCGTCTAAAGTGGGTACCTTCTCCTGAGAGAAGCTTCCCGTTGACGCTTGGCCTGCATCCTGAGATGTCTTTGGCCTTTTCTTGGGAGCTGGCTTCGAAGGCGTTGGATCCGAACTGCTACCCGGTACCCCTCCATGTGGAGAGCCTCCGGAAGCAGATGCAGAAGCAGACGCTGAGGTTCCCTCTTCCTGAGAAGAGCCTACCCCTGCGCTTTGCTGCCTCTTCTCGTGGCGAATGCCACCCGGATCTTGCTCGTCAGGAGGACGGTAATGATGTGTGAGATACATCGCCGGAATGTCCTTGTACGAGAGCACCACGCCGTTGTCTGTAAGAAACCGATCGTGGCCGTGGTTCAGATAGCTCTCGTAATCGAGCTTGGCGTAGAAGACGTAGGAGCCGTACTTAATGACGGTCCCAGGCCCAGGAGAAACCACTCCACCCGCATAAACGAGATGGATGGCCTTCCTGTGCCGCTGCCACGCCGCCTTCGTCGCCTCCAGCTTTAAGCCGTTTTCCCGGATGCTCTCGTAGTTGGAGTTATCCGAGGCGTGGAAAATCGTTCCCAGCTGGCGGCATCGGTCGATGGTGAGCCTTTCCCCGTAGGCGACATCAGCAACCTGCTCGGGCATCCGCGAGTGGCCCTGGACGGCGGAGACCCCGACGTAGAAGTCGAAGTCAAAGAACCGCTCGAACTGCAGAGCCACTGGGGCCACCCAGATGTTGAAGCGGCCCTTCGAGTTCGCCATCAAGAAGGCGAAGAACTTCTTGGGCGCCCAATCGAAAGGCCTCAGGGGGTGCTTCATCATCGTCTCCAGAGGAATCTCCATGTATCTGCCAGGCGTGACTCTCGTGTCGTGCCGGGTCAGCTGTGACAGCTGCTTGGATGACTTCACCTCCCATCCATTGTGATTGTGTCTCATCTGGGCGATTGTAAAGACTTC